TCACGCCTGTAATCCCAGCACTTTGGGAGGCCGGGGCGGGTGGATCACGAGGTCGAGAGATCGAGACCATCCTAGTCAACATGGTGAAACCCCATCTCTACTAAAAAATACAAAAATTAGCTGGGCATGGTAGCGCATGCCTGTAATCCCAGCTACTCGGGAGGCTGAGGTAGGAGAATTGCCTGAACCCAGGAGGCGGAGGTTGCGGTGAGCCGAGATCGCGCCATTGCACTCCAGCCTGGGTAACAAGAGCGAAACTCCGTCTCAAAAAAAAAAAAAAAAAAGATCTCATTTGTTAATTTTTGCCTTTGTTGCAAATTTGCTTTTGGTGTCTTTGTCATGAGATTTTAGCCCATGCCTGTATCCTGAAAGGTATTGCCAAGGTTGCCTTCCAAAGTGTTCATATTTTTTGGGTTTTGCATTTAAGTCCTCCATCTTGACTTCATTTCTGTGCGTGATGTAAGGAAGGAGTCCAGTTTTAATCTTCTGCATATGGCTAGCCAGTTATCTCAGAACCGTTTGTTGAATGGGGAGTTCTTTCCCCAGTGCTTGTTTGTGTCAGGTTTGCTGAAGATCAGATAGTTGTAGGTATGTGGTCTTATTTTTGGGTTCTTTGTTCTGTCCCATTGGTCTATGTGTCTGTTTTTGGATTACCAGGCTATTTTGGCTACTGTAGCCCTGTAGTATCATTTTAAGGAGAGTGACGTAATGTCTTAAACATTAATCTCGGTTGGTTTTAAAGGGAGAACAAGAATTCCAGGAAGAAAGAGATAAAGATAAAAGCAAAGATCAATAAATCAGAAACCAAGTGAAAAAAAACACTTGTACTTTCTTAGGTACATTCTAGAGAATTAAAAAAATGCATAGACAAATCATTGACAGATATAATCAAGATACTAAGAGATTAAATGCCACAACTACAGAAAATCAGTATTAAGAAATGAGTCACTAGTATAGATAAATATTTTGAATTTTAAGAGTAATTTTTAAATTGCACGATAACAATGATGGTTTTTATAAAATGTTCTCCAGAAGAAAATTACTTAAGTTGACTTAAAATAAGAAAATTTTCAAATAGTAAAATTGAAATGATTACTAAATAATTCAGCACTGTCTCTAACTTCAGACTTTTTACCTATTTGCAGTAACAGAAAATTCTTATGCTTTTTGAAACTGAAGGGTTTTTGTTTTGTTTTGTTTGAGACAGTCTTGCTTGGTCACCCAGACTGGAGTGCAGTGGCATGATCTCAGCTCACTGCAACCTCTGCCTCCCGGGTTAAAGCAATTCTCATGCCTCAGCCTCCCGAGTAGGTGGGACTACAGGCATCCACCACCATGCCGAGCTAATTTTTGTACTTTTTAGTAGAGACGGGGTTTCACCATACTGACCAGGTTGGTCTGGAACTTCTGACCTCGTAATCCACCTGCCTTGGCCTCCCAAAGTGCTGGGATTATAGGCGTGAGCCACCACTCCCGGCCTGGAATTTTTAATTTCTTAGTGATTCACAGGCACAGCAGATTTCAGAGTGAATCAAATTGATCTCCAGTTCTCAAGGAGCTTATATTCTGGCTAGAGGAGGTAAACAGTGAACATATCCGAAAAGTTATATAAACAGATCAAAAGATTATAGACGGTCAGGGTTGAAGGCATCTTTTCCTCCAGAAGCCTCTTTTTAAATCAAGAATGAAATGATATTTCCTTAATATTAGGAATATATTTACATCAAAATAATAATCTGCAAACTTAGTGGGGGAAAACTGAAGGAAATCCATTTAAAATCAGACCCTAGACTAGAATGCCTGCTTATTTAACAACTGTAATGGAAATGTTGTTGCTGGCTTCACACAATGAAAAGAAAGAATAACATATAACTAGTAGATTCGATCAAATACAATTGATATGAGAATGAATATAAATATCCATTTATTGAGATAGCTAATAAATATATGCTTAATAAATAAAATCCAAGATAGCCACTAAAAATAAAGAGAAAAAACAGTTGATGGCTAATAAATAGGTTCCCTAAGGTGGTAAATTATAAATTATACATAGGAAAAACAAACCTTTTCTTTATACCAGTAAAATTCTAGCAGAAGCTATAACTAAAAAGAGATCCCTATCATAATTCCAACCAAAACGTATGCTACCAAGAAGTAAAACATAAAATTTTAAAATTCTGTGAGTTTTGAAGGCTTTTTAAAGCCCTAAAATACATAAAATTTTGTATAAAGGAAAACATACAGATTGTATTTTCTATGGGATGCATGAATATTTGAAATTATATGTCATTTTCCCACAATTGAAGCAAAAATTATAAATTTCAAAAAGCAATTGAAACAAAAATTATAAGTTACCTAGGGAGTAATGGGTGAAAATATAAAGAATAGTTCAGGAAACGAAAGTGTGGGGGAGGCACACAACGACTTTGCCAGACATGGATTAGTAGTCAAGGCAGGGCAGGCATAACAATGGAACAGAGTGGAAGGCCATGAGCAGGTCAAATTCTCTGTATACTTTAGCATTTAATAAGGCATGCATTTCTCATCATTGCAAAGAGTATTAGTTAATTATATAGGATAATAAATGTAGTGTGTACCGTAGTCCACAATAAACAAAAGAAGGACCAAATAGCTAATTGCAAACCAAGAAAAGAAAGATATAACAATTTAAAACAGCTAGAAGAGTTTAGAGGAGAAAAGGACTTTTTAGCATAAGATTAAAGGAAGAATTAATAAAGGAGGCTGGCCACGGTGGCTTATGCCTGTAATCCCAGCACTTTGGGAGGACAAGGTGGGTGGATCACCTGAAATCAGGAGTTCGAGACCAGTCTGACCAACATGATGAAACCCCATCTCTACTAAAAATACAAAAATAATTTGGGTATGTTGGTGGACACCTGTAATCTCAGCTACTCAGGAGGCTGAGGCAGGAGAATTGCTTGAACCAAGGAGGCTGAGGTTGCAGTGAGCTGAGATTGCACCACTGCACTCCAGCCTGGGTGACAAAAGTAAAACTCCATCTCAAAAAAAAAAAAGAATTAAAAAACGAACACAAACATACTTGGGTGCAACCTTTTCAATTATCCCTCCGCCCCCAAAAAATTCCCAATATAAACATAGATAGAATGTAAATGGCAAACACAAAACTTGTAAAAAAAAAAAACTTCGGACAAATTGAATTATTTCCTTTTTATATAAAAGATTCTACAAATCTAAGGCCTGGTAAATAAAAAATATAAAATCGAAAAAATAATGATTACCAAATTGCATTTTTAAAAATTGTATTTTATTTTAAGTTCCAGGATATATGTGCAGGGCATGCAGTTTTGTTACATAGGTAAACGTGTGCCATGGTGGTTTGCTACACCTACCAACCCAGCACCTAGGTACTAAGCCACACATGCATTAGCTATTTCTCCCTCCCACTGGGCCCCCAACCAACCACACTGCGTATTGTTCTCCTCTCTGTGTCCATGTGTTCTCATGATTCAGCTCCTAGTTATAAGTGATAACATGCACTGTTTGGTTTTCTGTTCCTGTGTTAGTTTGCAGAGGATAATAGCTTCCAGCTCCATCCATGCTCCTGCAAAGGACATGATCTCATTCCTTTTTATGGCTGCATAGTATTCCATGGTGTATATGCACCACCTAGAACCATTTGACCCAACAATACCATATCTGGGTATATACCCAAAGGAAAATAAGTCATTTTATTATAAAGAGACATGTAGCCATATGCTCACTTCAGCACTATTCACAGTAGCAAAGACATGAAATTAACACAAGTGCCCATTAATGATACACCAAAGTGCATCTGTTTTAAAATTGGCATTTTCTAAACAAATCTCGAGTGTTACAATGATCAAAATCCAATTAATTTGAAAGTAAATAAATGTTACATACATATACACATATACATATATATGTATGCATGTTTATGTATACATCTTTAATATTATACAGTTTGTAGCTTAAATATAAGCAGGGACCATAGAGTTTTACTAAATTACAAGGCTGAAAATTATTGTAATTGATAGAAAGAAAAGTCCAAAAGTGATATAGTTCAAGGAGAAAAGACCCTAAGTGTGTCCTGACTACCGCTGCGGTGTTCAGAGAGGAGCTGGTGTCAGTGAGTTGTATTTTTTCCTGTTGAGTAATTGTGTTGCTGGCGGACCCTGATCCCCCTGGGTGCCAGCTTAGGTGACACATTGGAATCACAACCCAGAAAGACTGACCCCCATCAAGCTGTGGGTCCCACGTCCGGGCAGCAGAGACAAAATGCCACACGAACTGCCAGAAAGTGAAACCCTTAGACTTCGACTGTCCGTGCAATGCCAAGTGACCAGTGTGTCCCTTTACTCTGCACCCATGGCCTCCATGAGGACAAAGGCTGCACATTCTCATTTTGCCTCATCAACAAGAGGGTTCTGGATTCCCTTCTGTTCTGGGCCCAGACCCCTGAGTCCTCTCTTCTTTCCCATTGTGTGCACTGAATTAACCTTTCTTTCTTTCTTTCTTTCTTTCTTTCTTTCTTTCTTTCTTTCTTTCTTTCTTTCTTTCTTTCTTCCTTCCTTCCTTCCTTCCTTCCTTCCTTCCTTCCTTTCTTTCTTTCTTTCTTTCTTTCTCTTTCTTTCCTTTCTTTCCTTCCTTCTTTCTTTCTTTTTCTCCCTTCCTTCCTTTCTTCCTTTCTTCCTTCCTTCCTTCCTTTCTTGCTTTTTCTTTTTCTTTTTTTGACAGAGTCTTGCTCTGTCTCCCAGGCTGGAGTGGTGTGATCTCAGTTCACTGCAGCCTCCACCTCCTGTGCTCAAGCAATTCTCCTGCCTCAGCCTCCTGAGTTTTTACAGGCACATGCCACCACACCCAGCTAATTTTGTATTTTTAGTAGAGATGGGATTTTGTCGTGTTGGCCAGGCTGTTCTCGAATTCCTGACCTCAAGTGATCCACCTGCCTCGGCCTCCCAAAGTGCTGGGATTGCAGGTATGAGTCACCATGCCCGGCCACATCTAATATTTCAACAGCATCTCTGCCAAGTATGAAACTTCCCCTCCGGTTATTTTTACCTATTTCACTGATTAAAACATGCTATGCTTTTAAACATATCCATAAAGAAACATAAGCTAAAATATATCTTGTTTTTTTAAGTGTCCTATGCTTATATAAAGTTTTTATTTTAAAAATAGAAAATGAATGGAAACAGAGAAAGAGTTGTTTGTTCTCCTGTAAACACAAGAACTGGCTACTGTTTTACAATTTGGGAATAAAACAATTTACTCATTACGGTCATGGCAGCCTTTCGGATGAACGCTTCTGCACTCCAGGTCTTTCACGTGGCTGTTTCTCTTCCTGCCTTATCTTTTCCTTCCTGCTCCTTCCTTTCACCTTCCACACCTGTTAGAAATGACATGGAAACCGCTTGGCAGCCCAGACTCTTATGAGACACCACACAGGTGCCTTTATAGGCTCTTTCTTGGAGTGTGAAAGCACAGTAAACAAGGGAGCAGCCATGAGATGGGAGATGGTTGTTCGTCTGTCAGTGTGTACCTGACTGCACATCATCATCGAACCCAGATTTTAGAACTAACTCTTGGTGGAGCCGGCTGTCTACAGCACAGCCCATTTCCTGCTACTGCTGGAGCCTCAGCTCTTGCCCATTCCCCTCTCTCTCTCTGGAGGCTGCCTCGTCACATGTCAGCCAGGAGAGCTACGGGTGCGGGCTGGCCTCCTGTGAGCTTTTAGATATGTCATGAGAGACAAAGCTCCCTCTGCGGAGAGCTGCCAGGCCTTGGAGTTTGTGACATATGACACACAGTTTCAGCCGGTCTGGTCAATCGTACCAGGCTTCCTTTTTCCCCCAACTGTTCCCCCTCTCCTCTCCATGACTGTCAGGCTGGCCCACAGCTGACATCACACACAGGAGGAGGACAGATTTCAGCTGTCAGCTCAACAGTGCAGAAATGTACTCACCAAAAAAAAAAGAAAAAGAAAAAAAGAACTGAGAACTTTTAGTAGGATAGGAAATGCTAGTTTGTTGGTGAAAAAAAATGGTGAGCAAGGCAAGGAGAAGAATTTCTTTCTTGCAAGTAAATTCACCCTTCAAACCTGCTCCCCACCTCCAAAGCCCTTGCTCCGGGGTATTGACACACCTGGGGTAGGAGCTGTTGTGAGATTGATCAGATGCACAGACCTCATCAATCAGCCCCCTTTTATGCTCTTGAAGGAGATCCCTGAGAACCGTCAGCGGCTCATCGTTGCTCACCTCACCAGCATTGTGTTGGCAAAGTTAGCTCAAAGCAGCCTAGTTCCTGTACACTTGCCGTGCTGAACAGCTTAGCCTGACTTTCCCTTGAATGACAGGCTTCCTTGCAAAAAAAAAAAAAAAAAAAAAAAAAAAAAAAAAAGGAGGCTTCAGAGAAAGCATAGTGGGAGTGCTTCACATTTTTTTTCCATCGAGGATTTAGAACAACTGGGAGGGGACAACAGAAAAAAAATTAAAAAAAAAGGAACAGAGGCAAATTACTGAACTCTAGCAGAGACAAGTACACACAAATCAATTATCTGCAAAAGCAGATGTAAAGTAAAGCCACGTGTGTGTGTGTGTGTCTGTGTGTTTGTGTATGGCACTTACATTGTATTAAAAACAATGCTGAAATTATAGAGCTGTCATCCACAGACTGTCAAGAGCCTCTCCCTTCTTGACGTACCTCTCAGGGAAGCAGGGGTGAGATTGACATAACAGTCACTGGGCAGGCAGGTACGGTGGCTCATCCCTGTAAGCCCAGCACTCTGGGAGGCCAAGGTGGAGGATGGCTTGAGCCCAGGAATTTGAGACCAACCTAGGCAACATAGAGAGAACATGTGTCTAGGAAAAACTAAAAAATTCACCAGGTGTGGTGGCAGGCAACTGTCCTCTTAGCTAGCTGGGAGGCTGACACAGGGGGACTGCTTGAGCCCAGGAGATCAAGGCTGCAGTGAGCTACAATCATGCCATTCCAGCCTGGGTGACACAGAGAGATTTTGTCTCCGAAAACATTTTCTTTAAATATAGTTAAAAAGATCCACAGGGCAGTGGTGGTTGGGGAGCCAGGTGGGGTGTGCCCCTCCGGCTGATTTCCAAGGTCAGGTGTGAAGAGCCCACGTGGCGGCCATTCCTCTAACACCAGGAAACCCTTCTGCCAGTGGACAACCCTACTTAGGGTGAGCTGATCCTCGGCCCCCACCAAGGAAAACAAAATAAAAATAAATCACAAAAACCCACAACTCGGCCATGAAGCTTGAAGAAGGGAACACAGTAGAAGTGCTATTTTCTTGGGGAGGAGAGAAAGGATTCTTGGGGTGAGGACCGTGGATTTCTCCTCTAAATTTAAACCCAAACAAAAAGGAAGAAAAGGAGTTTAAGGATCTGACACAAAGCCGAGCACATTCCCTTCTCAACTAACAAAAGCACAAGGAAAATTGTTAGACCCCCAGAGACAACGTTTCTAAGCTTTATTTTCCAAACTTCACTCTTATTAAAACAACCCTGGTAAATCATTTTCAAAGTGAAGTTTTTAAAATTCTCTTCACTGTTTGAAAAGAAAATTATCACCCTCAGTTTTCCAATAAATGATATTTAGTTAAAGAAACAACTCAGTCATTGAGACTAAGGGAAATGATGTTCCTCTCATGACAACCCCGCCAAGTGTCGCCCTTAGGGAGCCAGGAAGTCACTGGGCTCCGCTGGGGAGAGGCCATCGAATTCCAAGGCTGGGGAAAAGCTCCTTTCCCCTGACGCGGGCGGCCCGCTTTGTGCTCCGGGGATGTCTCCCTGACTGGCTGCGCATTATTGTTCAATGAAGAACTGGTTTACAGATAAACGTGGCCCTGTCAGAAGTTCTGAATACCTCCAAGCTAGTTGCTGGCCCTAGCAGGCCCAATTAGCTGTGACACACTCAGCAAAGCTGCCCCTGGGACCCACCCCTTCTCACACGCCATGTTGTGAAAGCCCCCCTGCGTCAGTACCTTCGCTATCAGCTTTGTAGTCACCCTTCAGCAGATGAAAGCTTTCTTGGAAAGAATGACTGCGGTATCAGCCTCAGCAGGCCCATGTACGGCTGCACACACATCACAGCGAAACACAAAGCACTCGTGGGCACGAGCAAGGACTCGGCGTGGTATTCCGGTGCAGGTCTCAGAACGATGCCTTCATTGCTGTAATTTGAAGAAATGATCTCAAATATTTAGTTCCAGTAAACTCTCTGAGAAGCGACATTCATGACAGCTGGCTCATGGGCTCTGTCGCTATCACTGGGATATGCGTGTCTCAGGGTGGGATGGTCTTCCCAACGCCATACCTGCTTGACCTCACCTACACAAACACACACTCGGTGCTGGGTTTCTTTCTCCTCAAAACTATGCATGTTCTTGTTCTAGAAGTCACCCAGGATCATGTCAGAAAAAGTGGAAAACAGACGGGGAGAAATAGAAAGGGAAGGAAGCAAATTACAATGTCCCTGCAGCAGATAGTTAGACTTTGGTGATGGAATTTTCTCCTATTACGGAAGATGCCTTGTAAACATCATAGAGAGTGGCCACACAATATTCTGTTCTGTGTTCATTCATTTCCCGTTCTCTAATGCTTGTGGCCACGAAATAGTTGTCAATGTTGTTTTACCATTATGAGCATTATTATACATAAAATTTTCCTCATATTTTTGGGTAACTTCTTAGGATTTATTTCAAAATCAAAATTAGGTCAAATTTTAGCCTAATACAACTAGGTTGAAAGATGCAGGGTCAAAGGATATTGATGTATGTCTCTAAATTGTTTTCCAACATAATTGAAACAGCCCAGCAATCTTTAATACTGGTTAACCAGATGTTCCCCAGCAATGTGTTACCTTTTTTGGAATTATTTATAAAATTGCATTAGATTATTATTATAACTGAACCTTCCCCATGTGTTTGTTAGTAGGTAGTGAAAATTTTTTATGTGCTTCCTCCATTTATCAACTATCTTTATGGTGGTTTTTCTGATTGCCTGCATTATTTCTTTACATAGTATAAATATTTCTCCTTTGCTACTATTAAATATATCAACTTGTTTCATTCAATTTTGATTTATCTTGTATGTGCATCTCTTTTTACATTTTTAGGTCATCAAATCTATGTTTCTGTATTTATTGTCTTACGTTATATATTAACCTATATTTCCTCTTATTTATTAATTTTACTTATTTATTTATTTTGCTTTGCAAATGTATCTGGAGTCTAATTTGTGAAGATTTTGTTTTCTAAAGACTGAAGCAATGAACATTGCATGTGTCTGTTTAGTAGAACGATTTATTTATTTTTTATTTTTTTGATGCATATCCAGTAGTGGGATTGCTGGATCAAATCGCAACTCTGTTTTAAGTTCTTTGAGAAATCTCCAAATGGCTTTCCCCAATGGCTGAACTAATTTGCATTTCCACCAATAGTGTAGAAATGTTCCCTTTTCTTCTCAGCCTCACCAGAGTCTATTGTTTTTGGCTTTTTCATAACAGCAGTTGTGACTGCTGTGAAATGGTATCTCACTGTGCTTTTGATTTGCCTTTCTCTGATGATTAGTGATGTTGAGTATTTTTTTCATATGTTTATTGGCTGCTTGTATGTCTTCTTTTGAGAAGTGTCTGTTCATGTCTTTTGCCCACTTTTTAATGAGTTTATTTAGGTTTTGCTTGTTGAATTAAATTCCTTATAGATGCTGGATATTTGACCTTTATTGGATGCATAGTTTGTGAATATTTTCTTGCATTCTGTAGATTGCGTTTACTGCCTTGATAGTTTCCTTTGCTGTGCAGAAACTCTTAGTGTAATTAAGTCCCATTTGTCCTCTTTCTAAGAAGATAAAATTCCTGTTGGTTTAGGGCCCACCTAACGACGTCTTCTTATCTTGATTACACCTGTAGAGAACCTCTTTCCACATAAGGTCACCTTCACAGGTCTAGGAGTTTGGATTACCACCTATTTTTTTTCAGAGACACAAATTCTACCCGTAACAGGTGGAAGACTGTAGATACCACACATGTACCAAGCATGCATGGCAATGTGTATCACTTACACAATGGGACTCACAGCAGGGAAGCCCCCACATTTGTCCAGGGAGGTGAAGGAAGTGGTGAGTAACTGTAGCTTTTATGGTGGTAGGGGCTGGGGTCCTGGAAAGGGCTCCTGAGTGCTGAGTGGTTTGCATAGTTTGAACTTCCCACCAATATCAAAGCATGGGACACACAGACTTCATGATGGCCTTGCCAAATGTGAGGTACAAAGGGAAAAAGAATGAGTGGGCCCCATTTTGTCAACAACCATGAAAAAGGAACAGTTTTGGCCAGGCGCGGTGGCTCACGCCTGTAATCCCAGCACTTTGTGAGGCCGAGGCAGGTGGGTCGTAAGGTCAAGAGATCGAGACCATCCTGGTCAACATGGTGAAACCCCATCTCTACTAAAAACACACAAAAAATTAGCTGGGCATGGTGGCACGTGCCTGTAATCCCAGCTACTCAGGAGGCTGAGGAAGGAGAATTGCCTGAACCCAGGAGGCGGAGGTTGCGGTGAGCCAAGTTCGTGCCATTGCACTCCAGCCTGGGTAACAAGAGCGAAACTCCGTCTCAAAAAAAAAAAAAAGGAACAGTTTCCTGGCCTATAAAGTTGAATTAACTATATTACCTTAGACACTATCTGTGATGGTTAAAGAAGCTGATGCCTGCGAAACTCAGCGTAGCTCCTCTGCCCCTCAGAGCAAGTGCTCAGTAAAGCCATCAGCCATCATTATTGCACGTGTATTATGAGTTTAGATGTCCTAGATAACATCAAGGAAGGGTTTTTTATTCCAACTTATTTAACATTTTTAAACCTAGATATAGATCATCTATGTCTCATTCCATATTCTGAAAAAAAATTGAGGTTTCTGAGATTTATCAATTTCTTAAATCTTGAAGCCATCTGAGTCTGCAATCTTTATCACTTGTGAATTTTTCCTATTTCTTCTTTGGTTATTAACAAATCTGTCGTTTCTTCTCTCCTTCTGCAGTTTTGTAAATTTTTATTTTTGAAAAAAGTTTCCTTTTTAATAAGACTATAACTGGTTAGTAGTTTTTCATAGTGCCTTCCTGTAACATGTAAAAGTCTCCCACAGATCTAATTCATTTTTTAGTCATTTTTTCATAATTTTATCATCACTGCGTTCATAAAACTTGAGCTTTTCTATTCCCCACAAGTTATTCCCAAACACCAGTTTTTGAATTTATCATTTCTGCGCCTTACTATTTTTCAGTTTATTGAGTTTTTCCCTGTCTCTTTTTCTATGTTATTTGTTTTAGGTTTTGGTTTTTTGTTTTGTTTTGTTTCCTAAAAGCTTGAAACAAAATCTTGGTACAGTTATATTGATCCTTTTCTTTCTCTAAAGTAAAATAATAAAAAGAAAATAAAACAAGTACTTCACTCTGAAAACTGTATGAGCAGCTTTTGATAATGTCTCTCCCATGTCGTTATCGCTGTCGTATTTCAAACACTCCAATGACCATTTTTTCAACTGCCTGCTTGATCCAGAGTGCATTCAGAAAATTATTTATTTCCAAGTGCTTTCAATTACTTTAACAATCATCATTTACCTCCACATTTTGCATCTGAATCCCCTGGAGACATGTAGAAAAATAAAAATTCCTCAGTACTCAACCCCAGAACTTCCCTTTACTCTTCAGCAGATTCTGGGAGAAATTCCGTCCTCTCTGCCTCCCGGAAGCGGATTCTGGGAGGAATTCCGTCCTCTCTGCCCCCCGGAAGCGGATTCTGGGAGGAATTCCGTCCTCTCTGCCCCCCCCGGAAGTGGATTCTGGGAGGAACTCCATCCTCTCTGCCCCCCCCCCCCCGGAAGCGGATTCTGGGAGGAATTCCGTCCTCTCTGCCCCCCCCCCGGAAGTGGATTCTGGGAGGAATTCCGTCCTCTCTGCCCCCCGGAAGCGGATTCTGGGAGGAATTCCGTCCTCTCTGCGCCCCCCCTCCAGGCGGATTCTGGGAGGAATTCCGTCCTCTCTGCCCCCTCCCCCGGAAGTGGATTCTGGGAGGAATTCCGTCCTCTCTGCCCCCCGGAAGCGAATTCTGGGAGGAATTCCGTCCTCTCTGCCCCCCGGAAGCAGATTCTGGGAGGAATTCTGTCCTCTCTGACCCCTGGAAGTGCTCTTGCCAGGCCAATCAATCAAGGGTCTCAATGCTGCCCTTCATTCTACCTTTAGCTTTCCTTCTCCTCCTTTTTCTTTCTCCTCTAGGCTCCCATGAGAACATAAGACTATACTGAACGTTTTCCCCTCCTCCCCAGCTGGTTCCCTTCTCTCACCTGCTTTTCCTCCTCTATTTGCCTCCCATGGCAGGCTACCTAGGCTGGCTCATTCCCGGCTCTCCTAAGGTCAATCTACCTGCCTCTGTGGTCCCTGCCTATGCATGTCTTCTCTAGAGACTCTGAGAGACTCTGAGCTTCATCATCAACTCTGAACTCACCCACACCACGTGGATACAACTCCCTCCAAGGGTCTTCAGGGACCACCCCATCAACAATTTCCTCCATCGCCAATTGCCCCACGTCATGTTACTTCCTCTCTTACTTCCTCCGTGGCATTTGCCACTCTGTGAAAGCAAATGAAAGCAGGGATGCTTTTCTCCTGATCATTGCAGCGTCCTCAGCCCCTAGTGCAGTGTCTGCCATAAAGCACATGTCCAATAAATATAGGTTGGGTTTATAAACGGAACAATAAATGGGTACAAAAGACCTAGGCAGAAATCACACAGGAATAGTCTTAAAAGTTTTTCCAGGTAATTCCAACAAAGGCAACTAAGGAAGCTACCAGCCTGAACTGTCTCAGAATTTCAAAATTTATCGAGGCTTCTTTGTCAGGTAACACATAATTAATTGTTGTAAATATTTCACAGATGCCAAAAAAAGAAGCTATGATCTGCCTAGGCTAAAAATTTCTATATATTTCTATTGATTCAATATGTTTTATTAAATAAAGTCATTTCTTTTTTTATTACCTATGTGATTTATTATAAATGGCTATTAGAGGTATTGTTTTAAAGGCTTAGGTACATAAGAATTGTGTCCCTAGGCTGGATGTGGTGGCTCACATCTGTAATCCCAGCACTTTGGGAGGCCAAGGCAGGAGGATCATCTGAGGTCAGGAGTTTGAAACCAGCCTGGACAACATGGTGAAACCCCATTTCTACCAAAAATACAAAAGTTAGCTGGACATAGTGATGGGTGCCTGTAATCCCAGCTATTCAGGAGGCTGAAGCAGGAGAATCACTTGAGCCTAGGAGGTGGAGGTTGCAGTGAACCAAGATTGTGCCGTTGCACTCCAGACTGAGCAAAAAGAGAGAAACTCCATAACAACAACAAAAAGAATTGTGTACCTACTCATTTGTCTTTGCTGTGTACATTTATGCAATATTGCTTGTATAAATGTTCGTAACTACTATGCCTTCTTATACATTTCACGTTAAGAATACAGCTGTATATTCGTGTTCATACCTGATGCTGTTGGCTTTAGATACCAACGTTACAATTCCTGGTGTTCGTTTTTTGTTCATTGATTGTTTTGCCATTTGGTTGGTATGTACATTGTCTTCTGTGTTTCCAGATATCTTTTAAAAATATTTCTGAATTATTTTATTTTGATGTGCTCATTGAAAATGGTATCGTATAGTATTTTATTTCACTTTACTTTTTCACATTGATTTTTACTTTACTTTTTCACATAAAATATTTACACATCTACTCATTTCCTGGGTTGCCATAGCA